CAACAGTTAGAGATAGTTTGAATGTTGACTAAGTCAAGAAAGTAGTGAGTACGAATCACATTATAAAAAGGTGTACTAGTAAGCGGAAACCTTATATGGTAGTGAGATGCGCCCAGACGTCAGCTGACACATGAAGTTGCCTTATTTATGTGCTGGTGCCATGTGCAAAACAAGGTAAACTGGTATAGTTAGCACTACAACGAGATCGCTTTTCAAAACATTGTTGCAATCTTGAACAAACCCAGGACCGCCAAAACAATAAGGGCAACTGTTGTCTTATCGATCATCGTCTAGTTGGTAGATAACAAAAATTGCGACACAAAATGTAACTTTAACGTTACTGGAGGGAAAGCATTCACCATCGAATTTTTAGTGAAACGGATTGCTTCCAAAATCATCAACGGTATAGTCGTACATCGGAAAGTGCGATAATAACAAATAGACCTATTTTTTGCGAAGCCAAGGCATCCAAAATCTATTTAGAATATTATTATAAGGCTCGAGTAGTTTCCTGAGCGTTTTTTGTTTCCAGTCACAGTTTGATGGTTAACAAATTCATCAAAGTGAAATCTCACTTATTCAGAAATACTAATTTGGGCCCTGAAGCCTAACTGAGACGTATTTGTCTGTATGGACGTAAAGCCCAATTGTTCTGGACGCCGTTCTTGAAACTACGGTATACCCAAATAATTAGGAACTGAAGACACAATCTTGAGCCAGGGTCAAGCGTGCGTTGAGGAATCCTCGACAGGTCGACAGGGGGGGGTCGTATTGGCCCGCTGGGAGGAAGAGATCGGGCCGGATTGATGCAGTAGGATCATCACCGTCGGAGGACAAACATCAAGGATCGAGTCGATGCCAGGCCAGAGGATTTCCAATAACAATGATATTCACCCACACAAAATTTTCGTGATTCTGAGGCGTCCGCGGTAATTCTTAGTTACTTCAGTGTTTTATCACCACACAAGTTAAAGAATCCGAAATTCGCACGTTTTCCAAGGGATATTTTATCTTTCAAGTGAGTCCTCGAATGAAGGGATGTGAAGCACACGGCGCATCCCAGAGTGGGCCCAGTTGGTTGCGCGCGCTTCAACTACGGCTCTCTGGAGAAAGAATCTCAATTCAGGAAAAATC